CGTCTTTAATCCCAGTGCTCAGGAGGCAGAAGCAGGAAGATCTCTGTGAGTTTGAGGCCAGCCTGGCTTACAAAGTAAGTTCCAGAACAGCCAGAGCTGTTACACAGAGAAACCCTGTTTTGAAAAAACAAAACAAAAAAATAACAGTGTTCACATTTTCTTCCTTATTTACTTGTGTGTATTTATTTGCACCCAAACTGAGCTTTTTTTTTTTTTAAAGATATCTTCAACAAGAGTTATTACAGATTTTAAATAATAGTCTTGGGGCTATGGGGCTATTGGAGAAATGGTTAAATGCCCTGGTTGCTTTTTCAAGGAACCTGGGTTGAATTCCAAGCACCCACATAGTGGCTTATAACTGTCTATAATTCCAGTTTCAGGAGATCTGATGCCCTCTTCTGACCTCTGAGGGCACCGGATGCAGAGGCAGATGGATGTCTTCTGAGTCCCCTCACAGCCAGGGCAATACAGAGAAACTGTCCCGAAAAACCAAAACATCAAAGAATAAGTTAAAATAAAATCCAGTGATAAGCAGAATGGTTCTTTTTTTGTTTTTAATTTGGATTTTTGTGACAGGGTCTTGCTATAAAGCTCTGGCTGGCCTGGAACTCACTATTGTATGTCAGCTGGCAATGACTTTAGGCCATCTTCATGCCCCTGCTGAAGTGCTGGGGTGATAGATGTACCCCAGTGCACCCAACTTTTTTTGTTGTTGTTGTTTTTGGAGACAGGGTTTCTCTGTGTATCTTTGCGCCTTTCCTGGAACTTGCTTTGTAGACCAGGCTGGCCTCGAACTCACAGAGATCCACCTGGCTCTGCCTCCCGAGTGCTGGGATTAAAGGTGTGTGCCACCACTGCCTAACAACACCCAACTTTTTTTGTTTGTTTGTTTTTGAGACAGGGTCTTACTATGTAGACCAGGCTGGCCTCAAACTCACAGAAACCACCTGCCTCTGCCTCCCAAGTGCTGGGCTCCTAGCTCTTTTTTCTTCTTTCTTTTTTTTTTTTTTTTTTTTTTTTGGTTTTTCGAGACAGAGTTTCTCTGTGTAGCTTTGTGCCTTTCCTGGAACTCACTTGGTAGCCCAGGCTAGCCTCGAACTCACAGAGATCCGCCTGCCTCTGCCTCCCGTGTGCTGGGATTAAAGGCATGCGCCACCACCGCCCGGCTCCTAGCTCTTTTTTAAGGATATATATTGAAGACAGTGTTCACTGTGTATCCAGATTGGCCTTGGTCTTGGGATCCTCCTGCCTCATCTTCTCCAGTGCTGGGATTAAAGGCTAGAACCACCATGCCCAGGTTACATAGTTCTTAAAAGAATTCCCTTTAGACTTAACCTGAAGGCATATAAAAGCAGGTTGCTGTGACCTATCCTGGAGTTTCAGCTTTACTAGATCTTGGGTGGGCCTGAGAGTTTTGATTTTTTTTTTTTACATTCCCAAGTGATGTGATTACTTTGGTCTGATGACCATACCCTGAGATTCACAAGCACCCAGGGGATGGATAGTTCTATACTAGAAAGAGAGTTAAAGGTAGAGGGAACACTTTAGGACAACTCTGTGGGACTAGAGATTGAGCTCAGTGATAGAGCTTTTGTCTACTATACACAAAAGCCTGTGTTCAGTCTCTAGCACTCAATACATGGCAACAATTGTAATGAGTATGAGTATGCTCTCAGATGAGCAGATACTGCTTTAAAACAAGAACTCTAAGCTTAGCATGTAAGACCTGCTGTTTCATTGACCAAGGTAATTCTTGTAGCTAGAGATGACGGCGCACGCCTTTAATCCCAGCACTAGGAGGCAGAGGCAGGTGGATCTCTGTGAGTGAGTTTGAGGCCAAGCCTGGGCTACGGATAAGAGTTCCAGGCTGTTACACAGGGAAATCTTGTCTCAAAAATCAGAAAGAAAAAAAATTAAAGAAAGAGAAAGAAAGAAAAGAAATGATAGTGTTCATAGTTATTAGAGAGAAATCTCCAAATCTCCACCCTTCAAATTGGGTTAGTTTCATAATTCCTACCCTGGAGTTTAAGGTAATCATTAATTGTTTTTGCTTGCTTGTTTGTATTTTTGAGACAGTCTCTCTGTGTAGCCCTGGCTGTCCTGGAACTTGCTCTGTAGACCTCGAACTCAGATCCATCTGCCTCTGCCTCCTGAGTGCTAGGATTAAAGGGATGCTAATAATCCTGTTAATGAACATTTGGAATAGACCCTTCTGTTAACTGTGTAATCTATTTTCTTCCTCTTGACCGACCTACCTACATTCCCCCCTAACTTCCCTCCCCCCCTTTCTTATAGCTGCATGAGAGGATCTCATGTAGCTTGGACTGACCTCAGACTCTGCTGTAGCTGAGGATGGTTTTGAACTTCTGAACCTCCTGTCTGTAGCTGGAGTTTTCTCTCCGGGTCCCGCCAAGCCCCGGCAGTCTGACAGCCCACTTATAAAATAAACACACAGACGCTTATATTATTTACAAACTGTATGGCTGTGGCAGGCTTCTTGCTAACTGTTCTTATATCTTTAATTAACCCATTTCTTTTTTTTTTTTTTTTTTTTGGTTTTTCGAGACAGGGTTTCTCTGTGTAGCTTTGCACCTTTCCTGGAACTCGCTTTGTAGACCAGGCTGGCCTCGAACTCACAGAGATCCGCCTGGCTCTGCCTCCCGAGTGCTGGGATTAAAGGCGTGTGCCACCACCGCCCGGCTAATTAACCCATTTCTATTAATCTATAAGTTGCCACATGGCTCGTGGCTTACCGGTACCTTACATCTTGCTTGTCATGGCGGCGGCTGGCAGCGTCTCTCTGACTCAGCCTTCCACTTCCCAGAATTCTCTTCTCTGCTTGTCCCGCCTATACTTCCTGCCTGGCTACTGGCCAATCAGCATTTTATATATACAAAGCAATATCCACAGCACCTGTCTCTAAAGGTTAGGATTGCAGGTGTGTGGTGCCGTACCCAGCTTTTGTGGTCCTGGAGATCAAATCCAGGGTTGTGTGCCTATGAGGCAAGGACTCTTCCAGTTAGGCCACATTCCTGGGCCTTGAGTTTTTTTCTCATTTGTTTTATTTTGTTTTTGAGACAGGGTCTCTGTGTAGCCTTAGCTAGCCTGGATATCACTATGTAGATCAAGTTGGACTCTAACTCACAGAGATCCACCTGCCTGTACCTCCTGAGTGTAGGATTAAAGGCATTCATCCACACCTGTCCAGGGTTAGGTTTTTAATAAAAAACAAAACAACTTTTCATTCAAAAAAAGACAAAGCTGGCGTGGCAGCGCACACCTTCAGTCCCAGCACTGGGGGAGAGGAGGGCGGCTCACACCTTCAGTCCCAGCGCTGGGGGAGAGGAGGGCAGCTCACACCTTCAGTCCCAGCGCTGGGGGAGAGGAGGGCAGCTCACACCTTCAGTCCCAGCGCTGGGGGAGAGGAGGGCAGCTCACACCTTCAGTCCCAGCGCTGGGGGAGAGGAGGGCGAGGGGCAGTGATGGGACAGAGGCAGACAGATCTCTGAGTTCCAGTCCAGCCTGGTCTACAGAACGAGTTCCAAGAGACCCACAGCTACACAGAAAAACCCTATCTCAAATTTAAAAAGAATGAAAGAAAGAAAGAAAAACACTTTTCATTCCTCTTTTGTTCATTTTATGTTTTGCAATTCTTCAGTTCCCATTTTTTTGTGACGTTGACTCGGAGTGTGGCGTGACGTAACCTGGTTGATTGTGCTTGCTCTTCCAGGTCCACTTCTTCAACAGCTTTTTTCACAGACAGCTGGTAACCAAAGGCTATAATGGAGTTAAGAGATGGACTAAAAAGGTATTCCGTTTCCTTTTATACTGAATTTCAAATGGATAAGCTACTCTTGGTTGGAGGATCAGAGCTTTAATAACATTATGGTGTCAGTTAGAGCCTTCATGTGAGTGCTGAATATCTCTTATCTTAATGTTTGGTGAATAAGACACTAGTAAACTCTTGAGTCTGTGGATTCGAATGAGCTGTACGGCAGGAGTACCAGTCTGGGAGTTCATGATTGCAGCAATCCTCTTAGCCTGCTGGACAGCTTGGACAGGACATTTAACTTGTCTAATTAGATTGCTGAGTGTTAGAATAAAATGCTAAAATATCTAAAGTGCCTTTAGTGACTCTGTCAGAACCTTTTTTTTGTGGTGGTGAACTTGGGATTGAACCCAGGGCCTTTCATAAGCTAGGCAAGTGCTTTTGTCACTGAGCTCCAGCTCTCGCCTTGGTTTATGTAGTTTAGGCTGGTCTCTGACTTGCAGTCTTCCTGGTCCAGTCTCCCAAGTGTTGGTTACAGGTATTCTTCATGAGGCCCGAGTGGAAGCACTTTTGACAAAGTTACTAATACATTCAAACTCAAACAATAAATATCGAAATAATTTTGTGTTTTGTTTGTTTTTTATAAAAGGGATCAGACTCATGTAGCTCAAGCTGCTCTGACACTCGATATGTAGCCAGAGTTGGCCTGGTCGTCTTGCCTCGAACTCCTGAGTACTAGGTAGACGCGGGCCACCATGCCTGGCATACGTTTCACTTTCTTTTTTTTTTGGTTTTTCGAGTCAGGGTTTCTCTGTGTAGTTTGCGCCTTTCCTGGAACTCACTTTGTAGAACAGGCTGGCCTTGAACTCAGAGATCCGCCTGACTCTGCCTCCCGAGTGCTGGGATTAAAGGCGTGCGCCACCACTGCGCGGCATACTTTTCACTTTTAAGCTGATTGGGAGGACTCGGGAAGTGAGGGTGCGTCCTCGCTGGACTCTGTAGCCTGTGTGGAGGTAGGAAGACCAGAAGATTGAGGCTGGTCTGGGCTGAGTGAACCTCTCTCTGTTTGTTGTCATTTTAAAAAGAAGCCAGGCAAGGTGACACACGCCTTTAATTCTAGTAATTAGGAGGTAGAGGCAAGTGGATTTTTGTGAGTTAGGACCAGCCAGGGCTATGCAGTGAGATCCTGTCTCAAACCAACCAAACAAAACCAAGAATAACTCAATGGAAGTAAGATTTATTTCTTTATTTAGACCCCAAGCTGGCCTGGAATTCCCTGCATAGCTGGGAATGACCTTGAATTCCTGATCTCTCTACCTGTACTTCAGACTGCTGGGATTCCCAGTGGGAGTACCACATCTGCCTTATGTAGTGCTGGGGATCGAATCCAGGGCTTTGTGGATTTGAGGCAAATACTTTACCAAGGGAGCCATGTCCCCAGACCTGGAAATAATTTATATCAAGTACAGTGTCTGAAGTATACAAATCTAAGAGAGAGAGAATTTATATGCCAGTTTGGTGACTTAACTAGCTGTGACTTGAGCACACTTGCTTAATTATCCTGAAAGTCAGTCTTCTCTGTAGAACAAGAGGTTTACAAGGTATTTATTCTGTTGGGAGAATAAATGAGATTATATTTAGCAAACCAGTAAACACATTGTAAAATACACAGTAAGATGCTGATTGTCATGATGTACATGGAAACTCACCAAGTGCTCATTTCAGTTTTTTGATGATCCAATCACTAGGTCTTTATTCTAAAGAAATCTGGAAAAAGAAAGATTTGTAGAAAGATGCTTATGAGATTGCTAATTTTAGTAAAATTAAATTTTTAAGTAAATTGGTACTTCAGCTTCATGGAATTTTAAGTCATTGGTAAACCTTATGGTTTTTAGTCACTATTTCTTTTTTTTTTTTTTTTTTAAGATTTATTTATTTAGCCGGGCGGTGGTGGCGCACGCCTTTAATCCCAGCACACGGGAGGCAGAGGCAGGCGGATCTCTGTGAGTTCGAGGCCAGCCTGGTCTACAGAGCGAGATCCAGGAAAGGCGCAAAGCTACACAGAGAAACCCTGTCTCAAAAAAAAAAAAACCAAAAAAAAAAAAAAAAAAAGATTTATTTATTTATTATGTATACAGTGTTTTGCCTGCACATACGCCTACAGGCCAGAAGAGGGCACCAGATCTCATTACAGATGGTTGTGAGCCACCATGTGGTTGCTGGGAATTGAACTCAGGACCTCTAGAAGAGCAGTCAGTGCTCTTAACCGCTGAGCCATCTCTCCAGCCCTCACTTTTTCTTTTTTTGTTGGTTTTTTTTTTTTCGAAACAGGGTTTCTCTGTGTAGCTTTGCGCCTTTCCTGGGACTATTTCTTATAGTACATATATACATATATATTTTTGTTTGTTTGTTTTGGTTTGGTTTTTTGAGATGGTGTTTCCTGTGTAGCCCTAACTGTCCTGGAACTCACTCTGTAAACCAGGCTGGCTTTGAACTCAGAGATCTGCCTGCCTCTGCCTCTTGAGTGCTGGGATTAAAGGTGTTTGCTACTGCCACCACTGGGCTATATATATATATATATATATTGGTTTTTTGAGACAGGGTTTCTCTGTGTAGCTTTGTGCCTTTCCTGGATCTCGCTCTGTAGACCAGGCTGGCCTCGAACTCACAGAGATCCACCTGACTCTGCCTCCCGTGTGCTGGGATTAAAGGCGTGCGCCACCACTGCCCGGCCAATAAATATATTTTAAACCAATAAAAATTTTAACAAAGCCAGAAGTTAAAGACATGCCATTAAATCTTTTTTTTTTATTATTATTTGTTTTTTTGGTTTTATGGTTTTTTGAGACAGGGTTTCTCTGTGTCGTTTTGGTGCCTCTCCTGGATCTCGCTCTGTAGACCAGGCTAGACTCGAACTCACAAAGATCCATCTATGTCATTAATTCTTAAAGGTTTTTAATTTTAATTTAATTTAATCATTATTTTTAATAGAACTGGAGAGATGGCTCAGTGATTAAGAGCACTGGTTGCTCTTGCAGAGGACCTGGGTTTGGTTCCCATCATCCACATGATGGCTCACAACCATCTGTAGCTCCCGTTCTGGGGATCTGGTGCCTCTCTTGCCTCTGTGGGCGCTGGGCATAGATGCAAAACACTTACATTATGCAGGCAAAATACTCACCACACAAAATAAAATAAACAAATCTGTAAAAACAAAGGTGCCCCAGAAGCAGAGTTGAGGGTGGTCAGGAGCCACCATGTAGGTGCTGTGCAGAAGCAGTGATGCTCCCAATTATTGAACTATCTCATCGTGTCTCCAACCTCTGTATCCTACCTTTTTTCACAGTTGGAAGGCAATAGTTTTATTTCTGGAATTTGAAAACCAAAGGCTAAATCACACCTCACTTGTACCTCCTTCCTCAGCCACATGCTGCAGCTCTGTTTGCCTTCTGGAAGCACTCAGCTTTGTCTCAGAGACGTCTCCCTTCCTGTGAGAAGTGTGTGTGTGTGTGTATACACATACATACATCCTGTGAGAAGTGTGTCTCTGTATACACATACACAAAAACGGCACATTCTCTCCTTTACTGTCTTCTATCTTCTCCCTCAAACCAGGATCTCTGTGTGTAGCTTAGGCTGGTCTTGAACTCGTCATTCTCTTGGCTCAGCCTCCCAGTGCTGGGATGCCAGGTGCCATCACTGGCCACCTCCCCTGGCTTCTCTTACCTCAGCTTGTTTTCCTTCCCAGTATATTTCGCTGCCTGGCTTGTAGAATGCATTTATTGTCCCTTCTCTCTATTGGGGTGAACTTTTCATGGCAGGCTTTGTTTTAGGTAGTGATATCAGAACAGTGAATGCCATGAAGGTAGGCACTGGTAAGGACTGAAAACACACTCTAGGTAACTGGGTATGGTGGCAGGGGTCTGTCTGCAGTCCTAACATGCAGGAGGCCAAAAGCAAGACCTCTGTGCTCATTGTACTAGTAGTGTTTTTCTGGCTCTTACCACTGTGGAATTCAGCATTCAGTCGTTCAACACTGAGTGAGTTCCGCTGCCTTGGTTTTTGTGTGTGCCCGTGTCTGTAGAGGCCTGAGACAGAATGGGGTATTGTTCTTCTAGGGGGCCGTCTACTTTGCTTTTCGGTTGCTTTGTTTGTCGTTCTTGAGGCAGGCTATTTATGTTGCCTTGGACGGCCTGGAACTCAGTATGTAGAGATCCACCTGCCTCTGTCTACCTCCTGGTGCTGGGATTAAAGGCATGCTCCTGGCCTACCTTGTATTTTGAGACAGGGCCTCTTACTGGCCGGATCTTGTCAAGTAGGCTGAGCTGTCTGAGCAGTGTGCTTTAAGGATGTAACTCTTTCAGTCTCTCCAGTCTGGGGCTTGAAATGTGTCTTACACACCCAGCTTCCTCCATGTGGCCTGGGGAGCAGTCTCCGAACAAGCACTGACTCCTGCACTCCCCAGCTGAGGGGTGCTGATCTCTTTTCTAGGAGTAGATGAGGAAAATAAAGCCCTTGCTCTGTCTCATGGCCTTTACAGATCAACCAGGAAATAAAAGCCAATGAGAGTGGGTAATGTAGTTTGATTGCCTGCGGAGACACTGAACAGACAGAAGGGGAGTGTTGCTTTGGCTTTTGTTTTCTGAGACAAGGTTTCTCTGTGTAGCCCTGGCTGTCCTGGAACTAGCTCTGTAGACCAGGCTGACCTCGAACTCTGCCTGCCTCTGCCTCCCCAGTGCTAGGATTAAAGACATGTTCCACCATGCCTGGCTTTTTTTTTCACATTTTAAAATTTATATTTTTTGTGTGGATAATTCATGTCCCAGGACATGTGTTTTTGTTGATGTTGGTTTTGTTTGTTTCTTTCTTTTTTTTTGGAGACATATAATGCTTGGCTCCCCAAACACTACCATCATTAGAGTCATTATGTAGGCATGATTGCTTAGAGACCATGGTCATGTTCATAGGAAATATTTGCAAAATAAACATTACTTTGTTAAATGAAAAGATATTATTCTAGTCTCTGAATTCTTCAATTAGGGTAACTAAAAAATATTCCAGCCATATGCTAAATGCTAAGAAATTAACAAAATAATATGAAAATGAATGTTTGAAAAATAAATGACACTTAACTGATGTTCTGGGCAAAGCAAACCAAACTGAAGTAGCAGGGAAGCCGGTGTGGTGATACATGCCTTTAATCCCCAAACGCCCAGCACTCAGGCAGAGGCATGCGGGTCCCTGAGAACTGGAGGATAGCCTTGTCTACATAGTGCCTTCTGACCCTCTCAGACACCTACACTCACATGCTAATACACACACATATGCTTGTACATAACACCCTCAGATACACACTAATAAAAACAAATCTTTTTAAGAAATACATCGCGCCGGGCGGTGGTGGCGCACGCCTTTAATCCCAGCACTCGGGAGGCAGAGGCAGGCGGATCTCTGTGAGTTCGAGGCCAGCCTGGTCTACAGCGCGAGATTCAGGAAAGGCACAAAGCTACACAGAGAAACCCTGTCTCGAAAAACCAAAAAAAAAAAAAAGAAATACATCGCTAGTGGGAGATGTCTCTCATGAGTAAACCTCGTAGAAAATAATTAAGGTCGCAAAACTTAATACATTCAGTAGACTTGCATAAGTATATTATTAATAGAGCATTCTGTTCCTTAAAAAGAGAACATGTGGCAGTGAGGTCGCTCCTGAGATGACTCATGGGAAAGGTGATTACCTCCAAGCCTGACAACCTGAGTTCAGTCCCTGGAACCCACATTGTGGAAGGAGAGAGCTCACTCTGGAAATGATCATCTGACCACACATGACCTGTGACTTGCATTGTGTGTGTGTGTGTGTGTGTGTGTGTGTGTGTACACACACACACACACACACACACACACAAATGTAAATTTTAAAATGTGAAAAAAAAAAAAAAGCCCAGCATGGTAGAGCATGTCTTTATTTTTTTATTTATTTTGTTTGTTAAAAAGATTTTATTTATCATATATACAGTATTCTCCATACAGGAATGCCTACATGCCAGAAGGGGGCACCAGTTCTCATTATGGATGGTTGTGAGCCATCATGTGGTCTCTGGGTATTGAACTCAAGAACCTCTGGAAAAACAAGCAGCGCTCTTAACCCCTGAGCCATCTCTCTAGACCCTATCAGTCAGCGCTGTTAACCTCTAAGGCATCTCTCCAGCCCTAGAGCACACCTTTAATCCCAGCACTGGGGAGGCAGAAGCAGGCAGATCTCTGTGAATTCGAGGTCAGCCTGGTCTACAGAACAAGTTCTAGGACAGGCTCCAAAGCTACAGAGAAATCCTGTCTCCAAAAAAAAAAAAAACAAACAAACCAACCAAAAAACAAAACAAAAAAACCCCTAAGATTCTCCTGGTGGAGCCATAGGATCACAGCTGTAATCCAAACTAAGCAAGTAGAAACAGGAGAGGAGGCTTATAAAGGAGTTCATGGTCATCATCATCTATACAGTGAGTTCTCCCAAACACATGAAGGGAAGGAAATGAATGGCCTTAAATCTCATTATTATCTAGTAGTCACCAAATTCAATTCCAGAAAGACAAGGAAGTCAACCAGGATTTGAATAGGTGGGAAAGAAGACACAATAAAGTAGTAACAAAATGTGGAAGGAGCTTTGAAGTTTAAAATGGTGTTTCTGTGTGTGTTCCAGTGTGCTTGTTGGGGTGCACACAGGTGCCTGCGCACCACAGCACACACAGGCAGGTCAGGAGACAACTCTACAGACTAGGGTCTCTTCTCCCACCTTTCGGATCAGAACTAGTCATCAGGCCCAGCAAGCACCCCAGACTATTACTTTGCGATAGGAATTCACAGTTACATAGGCGGGCCTTACGTGTGTGCTGTCCTCCTCCAGGCACGTGACACTGAGTCATTTAGATAGGGTCTCTTGGAGCCCACTCTCCTGGAACTCTCCTGTAGCAG